ACAGAAATGGGTTTTCCCTCACTGTACACCCACAACATCTGAGGCTCTGGATACCAGCCATTAGATTTACACTCTAACACCATTTCATTTTTGACATTGCTGAGTTCTATGACTGGTGAGGAAACTGAACCTGCAAAGAAAAGAATGAAAGACAAAATATTGAAATGTAGTTGCCAAAATATATATCTAAAAAAAAGATTCTTAAAATAGTTACAGTTCACCCAAATGTCTCTCTTATTGACCTTAACTCAAATTGTCCTTTTAAGCTTATAGAGAGGCACAATGCTATGTGACATCAACTGTGCCAATCTAACTGGTCAAAATTCTAATAATCTTACTTATTTATTCCATTTTCTCTTTTCAAAGTTCCTGTATATAGACTGAAAGTAACTTGTACCTATCCACTCAATATATATGTTGCTTAAAGTCTTCCTTCAAATCTAAATTGCAAAGTGAAGAAATTAAATTAAATGAAACTTACCTACAGCAAGCGTCACCACAGTTTCTGCATTGAATTTAGGTACAAGGCATTTGTATGTTCCTGCATCAGAGAGTTGTACTGTGGAGAGTTTCAATGAAACGTCTCCACACTGCAGTTTGTTGACAGAGAGTGATGTTCTTCCTGTGTACAAAGGATTCTGCTCAGTCAGAAGCTCCACACCCTCTCGCCTCACATAGACAGATCTAGGTTTGAGGTCAGTTCTGGACCAATCCACAGTCAGGTCAACAGCATCCACAGCAGGTTCCAGGTGGCATGGCAAAATGATGTCATCACCAATCATGGCCACTACTGGCTGAGTTGGACCAATCATTTGATGCTGACCTAACAAATTTAGGGACACATATAGTTCAGCAGTTTTGTAATTGTGAAGATCAGTCTGAGCAAACTGTGTAATTGATTTATTTAACTACATCAAAATAAACTGGTGCTGTTACAGTGTGTGTTTTCATCTTCTGTGTAAGACTACAGGTAAGAACTTTAAATTGTGGATTTTATAAATGTTTGTGTGCAACTTACCACCACAAGTTTGTGTTAGAAAAAGGAGGACGACAACAACATGATGCAAAACCAAGAGATGTTTATTCTTTATAGGACTCATTCTAGATGTCTGCAACAAAAAAAAGGGGACGGGGGGGCATAGCAACACACACCTTTTTATATTAAGCCATTCTCTGATAGAAAAAAATGAAACAGTCCAAGACTGATTTGTAGACTGTCACGGTAATATCACATTTGAAAAAAGTATTTAATTATGTTAAAATTTATTTTTAATCATTTAGAAATGCGCTCCTTTCCAGGAGTAACAGTAACAAGAGAGATCAAGAACATTGCAGGAAATCTGGACAAACTGGGAATTGTTGACTTTTTCTTCTTAGCTCTTGATGAGAGCAAACATGTCATCTGGACACAGCCCAGTTACTCATCTTTACGAAGTCATTATACTACAAGCAAAATAACAAAAGTACTTTTTACTAAATCAAAGGTCTCCCTTTTTTTCTCCTTTGTGCAATATTTTAGCAGATGTGCAATTTTCATAACCTTTCCACCCTTATTTATTTATTATTTATTATATTCGAGTGTACATAGTATTTATGTATGTTTTTCTTCTTCTTTTGTATATTGTCTTTTATTTTCACACCCTGTGGTCTTGTTACATAATTTAATGGTGCATGCAACTATACAATGACAATAAAATTTCTACATCTAAGTCTGTGAAATTTAGCACAAAAGTAAGTTTTTGTTGATAAACAGTGATAAAACATTGGTGATTTTTTTCTGTCCCATTTTCATTGTCTGATTCCAACATCTACTCTTACCAGTAACTGCTTATAAAGAGATCAAAATAACAGAGCGATGAAAGTTGAGAGACAAGAGACACAAGTAACATTGAGTTCAGTATATCCTCCTCAACCAATAAGCTGTGTCTGTGCATAGGTCATGGTTTCTTTTGTCCTGTTTGCAATTAATATACTTACTGTCTATAAAATGCTGATAGAAGATATAGATTTTATTTCAAATTGTAAACTCTCGAAGTAGCAACTAATAACGGCATGTAATTAAAAGTACATATATAAATATTTATGAATGTACAAGTATCCAGAAATAATAATTATGTTACTTTCGCTCCTTGACGCTTACAGCACTCTTTGTGCCTCTGTTAACTGCTAATGCTAATGGGATCAATGTGATTTTATGTATTATAAGCACCTACTAGAAAACTGAGGCTAAGTAATCTAAATAAATACAGAAGGAAAAGATTACAGTTTAGCTTTCTATGGTAAAAGTCTACATACCTGTCGAACTGCTCAAAACAGTCACCAAAGCTCAAAGAAAGTAGGTTGTAATAAAACTATGTGCACTCTCAACCCAACCCTCTGTTAAACAATAACGCGTGTTGACTTTATAGTTCCTGATATCAAAGGTCAGTTCTTTTCATAAAGTGAGGACGGGTTGGAATTTTGTTAAACTTTCAATTTGATTCATTTGTCCATTTAAGTCAAAGCTGTGTTTTAACATGATGAATGTGCTTCAACATCCTACATGCTGTGAATTCCTTGTTTAGGAGTTGTGAACAAGGACATTATGTCCATGAAAGGTGTCAAATATAACTTACTGTGTATAGTGCATACAGTTTTCTTTGTGTGTGTATTTAAGAGCAGCACTTCAGTAATTGGATGACCCATTTCATCAAATGAAATGATAAGGGTGTAAAAAATTGTTACATGGTATATTTGCATTGGGTCTTTAAAATGTTTCTCTCTTCTGAGTGAAAGAGCTTCAGCTCTCTCACGGCATAACTGGCCATTTTAAATATTGGTGTGTGGTTTTTAAAGAGAAACACTGGAATATCTCTTTCTACACGTGCTGTCTGGTTACCTTTTAATGTGCTTGAATTTGCTTCATTTAGAGGACAAGCCAGGTACATATACACACTAACAACAGTTTTTCTTTTTGAATAACAGGCCATGTTTTGGCTTAAGCACCTCTTCAAACATACATCAAACATATCCGCTAAGATGATCTTTTTCACCCCATTAAATGATCAGTGCGTGTTTACAGATTTACATACATGCTCTCTCATACACACCCAACTTTTGAGATCCACCGGACCACGCTTTGGGCGGTGCCGTGTGGATGTCCCACATATATGTACTAAAATAAATTATTGTTGTTAACTGGACCTGTTCTGAGTATTGGTTGTTTGTTCTCGGGACAACACACACACACACACGCACACACACACACACAAAGAGATCCATTTATCTCTTTCTCCCAAACACGGACATACATCACATATTCAAAGCCTGGATGTGTCATATTCAAATGTATACATATTTCATGTGTTCTGTTGTGTTTATCTTTTGTTGGTGAAGTTTTCCGTGTTGGTGCAGTTTGCATAATAAATGTGCTCACTGATGAAACAGATGTTGATCTAAATAGTTTCACACACACATGCCATAGTAAATCACTCTTGGGACGCCCTGGTGATCACAGGCCCAGAATGTGCAAAAAGCAAGAATTTCTGCATTAGCCTACAATGGCAAAATGGTTAATCTGAGTGGAAAACAGTAAAAATGTCAAAAATACAACTTTTCTTCAAAAAAATGCTGACATGAAAGTGAATGCATGGTTTTAGGTTAAAACTATACAAAAAAATAATAATCCAATCAAATCAATTTTGTTTCTGTTCTTTGACATGTCCAAGAATCTAATCACCCCCAATGTCTGCTGTACAGACTCCATTGATTCTTTTAAAAAGCAGCTGAAGACATTTTCATATAAAAACTTTTTCAACTAATTTGTTGTTTTTATGTTGCACGAATCAGCAGCAGTCTCCCTCAGAGCAAAATTGATATGGAACAGATCTGGCCCACACAATGTGCTTACACATGGCCCACATAGCACAAAGAATGACAGCCCTTTGGTGGCCCAGATTTCTACTTGTTCTCTGACTCAAAATCAAAAGAAAAACAAAACAAACAAAAAAGAAACCAAACAAACAAATAAACATAAAGACTTACCACAGATAAAGACCCTAGACTCAGAC